AGTCAAACCCTGAAAGGAATAGTGCATATCGTTGGAGTCGAGCAGCAGTCGTTGCTGGTATAGCCTTGGTTGGACTGAAAATTGCTGTCAATGGTTTATGATCTGTTCGCAGGGTGAAATGTCGTGCAAATATGTAAGTATGGAATTTCTTCACACCCCATACGAAAGCCTACTGAGAATAATGTTTTCAGTTTTTGTAAGGGACCTTGAAGCATAAGCTATTGGTCGTTCAGTATTATCACCCATGACTTGTGTTAAAACTGCCCCCAACCCATACGGAGATGCATCGCATTCTAACTTGATTGGGCGTTGAGGGTCATAATGTGCAAGGACTTCCTCGGATGAAATTAACTCCTTTGCTTTCAGAAAAGCTTGCTCACATTCCGAGGTCCATTTCCACCGTCTCTCTTTTTCGAGCAACTGGTTTAGTGGTTGAAGTAAGGTAGAAAGGTTTGGAAGGAAATTGTGGTAATAATTAATAAGACCAACAAAGGAACGAACTTGGGAAACATTTTCGGGACGTGGTGCATTTATCACAGCATGCACTTTCTGTTGGGACTTGTGCAGACCCAGCTTGCTGATCTCATGACCACAGAACTCGATTCTTTCTTTGAAGAATTCGCACTTACTGCTGTTGGCTCTGAGACCATGTTTACTAAGTCGACTGAGAACTTCTTCTAGGTTGTCAAGATGGTCTTGGTCGGTTGCACCAGATACGATCAAGGATACATTGCACATGGGGAATTCCTTCCAATATCTGATCCATAGCTTGTTGCCATATTGCAGGGGCAGATGCTACACCAAATACAAGCCGATTGTATTGGAATAATCCTTTATGGGTATTAATTGTTAGGAATTTCTTTGACTCTTCTTCCATTTCCATCTGTAAATACGCCTGTCGCAGATCAATCTTGCTGAACTTTTGCCCACCGCCGAGGGAGGCAAAAATATCAATCCTTGGGAGCGGGTATTGTTGAACGTGCAAGACTGGATTGATGGTTTGCTTGAAATCACCACACAATCGAACATTGCCATTCTTCTTTATCACTGGAACAACCGGGGTTGCCCATTCACTCCAATCAACTTTGGTCAAGATGCCGTCATTCTGCAACTTGGTCAACTCAGCCTCAACTTTTGGTCGCAGAGCATATGGTACTTGTCTCGCTTTGCAGAACGTTGGCTGGCTGTTTTCTTTCAGGGTCAGCTTTGCTTTGGTAGTCTTTAGCAGACCAATATCTTCTTCAAAAACATCCCTATACTTATCAAGGATCTCTTGTAATCGGGTTGATGGATTTCCTGGTGGTGTGGTTGCCAATGTGTTGATTGCTTTCAATCTAGTGTGATCTTTTCTAGCCAGTCTCGACCAAAGAGGGCAGGCCCCTTTGTTTCGACTACATACAAATTTAGCTTCTGCATCTCTTCTTTATACTTAACTTGGACATTCAAGACTCCTACGGGTTGGATTCTCTCCCCGGTGTAGGTTTTGAGGACAGTGGTTGTTGGGTGGAGTTTGCTTGACTTAAACGTTGTGTTAAATTTACTAAGTGGAAGTACAGATACAGCAGAGCCAGTGTCTAATTCCATCCACAGGGGTTTCCCTTCCACTTCAGGGGTTACCCAGATTATATTAGTGTGGGCTTTAGAAACCTTGTGCAGTTCTAGGGATGCCATGCAAGGTGTCCTCGCTATCACTATCACTTTCGTTTTGAACCTTATGTACTTCTGGGCCCTTTTTCTTGCTCGAACTTGGCTTGATAGGGGAATTTTGTTTAAAAGGCTTCCCCCTTCATACACGTTTTATATGGCCCTTTTTCCCACAGTTTCTACAATATTGATCTTTGAAATAGCATTCCTGGGGTTCGTGCCCCTCTTTCCCACATCTATAACATTTATGTTGCATTGGGACTTCACGAATGCTGTTCACAGGAGGTATTGTCTTAGCTTTCCCCCTCAACTCAAGTGAATCTTTCATGGCCGTTTCCATGGCAACCGCAAGTTTTAGCGCTTTCTCGAACGTAAGGCTGGTTTCGACAAGTAAGCGTTTCTGAATAGATTCATTGTATAGTCCACAAACAAATCTGTCCCTTAACGAGTCATTTAACGCTGTCGCCCAGTTAAATACTGTACGTCCGATAGCCATGTAAACGCATAAGGAAAAATCATGCAAAATACACAGCTTTACGAAACAGATTTTTCTTGTCTCCATTTAACAACTGCTTTTTTCCTGGAGAGCTGCATACCGACTCGGTGCTTGCTAAAGAGTAAAGGAGATTATAGAATTGCACATGCTTTCTTTTTCAAATCCTTTATTCCACTATATCTTACATCAGAGGCGTAGCCAGGGTAACCCTAACGAGGGTTAAGGGTTAGTAAGCCGTAACCCTAACGAGGGTTAAGGGTTAGGGGTTAGGGTTATAACCCAATAACTTATTGCTGATAACGGTTGATAATTACAATACTATATTGTTGATAACGTGCGGAACCTGACTCGTCCCCAGTCGTCTCTGTGTTTCAAGCGCGGGCGGAAGAAAAGGTTGCGCAAGGGTTAGCAAGGGCATGCAGGCGGTGAGCACACGCTGCATCTTTTTCCTGCTTCCACCCGCCATCTTGCCTGCTTCCGCCCGCGCTTAAAAAACCTTGCGCATACCTTTTCTTCCGCCCGCGCTTGAAACACAGAGACGACTGGGGACGAGTCAGGTGCGGAACGGCTGCTATTCTATGACCACAGGGATGGACCTTGAGATGGTGCTCAAGATCGCGGCATGTTTTCACGATCGTTAAAACGTGAATCTTGCCAATCCTAAATCGTACCCATGCAACCCCTTTAGATTTGGACTATATTGTAAATTCCTCTCGTCGATCTAAGGGAGTATTAAAGGACAAGGTTGTCGTCGATCCTTTTAAGGCTTAAGTCATTACCGCGTATTGATTCGAGGTCACGAATTCCGGTCCCATGTTAATTAATAGCGAACTTAAGATCGACGACGCGGCCGACGATGCATGCATGCAAGACCAAAACTGTGAATAATTTGTGGTCCCAGGAGTATTCTCAACGGCTTTGTCATTCTCAGCACAACGTAAAACTAAGTTTTATCATGTCTTTCATGCAACGTGAATTCGTGAAAGCTTATTGCGACCCGGCCAAGAGGTGTTACTTAAAGTCAAAATTACAGCAAACATTGCATCGCTTCGGTCGAACTTAGCAGTTTGTAATGTTATTTGAAAAATCTTCAAACATTTATTACAGTAATAAAATTGCTTAGCGCTCATTCTTGAGCTGAAATTCAGACTGCGTCGTTGAGTCGACCGCGTCGTGGATCTTAAGCTCTCAAATATAATATGAACGCAGCCTTAGAGAAAACAAAATACAAAACAAACAAATACAGTGAAGCATGCAAAAGAAGCTTGAATTTAAGGTAGCTCCCTACTGTTTTTTGCAACTGGAAAATTTACAATATAGGTATATTTTTGAACAATTGTTACTTGTTGAAAAGCAAATAGTATCTCATGAAAATCAATGCTTCTCAATGCCCAGTGGAAAAAGATTGTAACTGATTAATAGTTAGCTGTAGTCATTTTATTATAAAGTCATATTTTCAATGCAAATATTAATTGTTGTATTTCGAAGTGAAAAGTTGGAGTATTTAAAATGTAAAATTAATGAATTAATCCATACTCTTCCTTTGTCGGTGTTTAGCTTCTCCTGGGACTGGCTGGGAGAGATTTATAACGCAAACTAGAGGTGTGCAAATCCGATCGGATTCGTTCCGATTTCGGAACCTGAAAAATATTCATTTCGGATTGGATCGGATTGATAAAGTTGTTTCGTAGTCGGATCGGACTTCGATATTCGAAATAAAATGAATTCATCAGTATCCACGACAACGCGGTTGTCGCAGCATTATTCGTTTGATACTTCAATTGGACGTCATTTTGTCAGCTTCTTGACATGTATTTCTTGCTTTTACTGTTTATTTCGTTAAATATTTCCGCTTGAAAGAGAAATTTATTTTATTAAAGGTTCTTCGGATCAGGGAATTCTTTATCAAAACTCGGATCGAATTCAGATTAGACAATATCAGATCGGATTTTAAACATTAGCCAATCAGCCTTTCTCACGCCGCCATTTTTGGGGTACTTTCTTGCCAATCCTGCGAGCGTAACACCACGTAACGGCGACATTTTATAATTTTATGGGTGTGTGATGGTGAATTTACTCTGTAAATAGTCAGTTTACGAAATATAATCGTTTACGAAAAATTACAGTACCCCAAAAATGGCGGCGTGAAAAAGGCTAATTGTCGGATTATAAACGTCCGATCCGATGCACACCTCTAACGCAAACCGCCCTACCGGTTTTCTAAAATCGTGTTTTTGGATTTTTTTTGTTAATTCTGTTAGGGTTAGAGTTGCGGTTAGGGGTTAGAGTAGGCGGTAGGGTTTGGGTTAGTTACATAGCCATTTACTGACCGGGCCTCTTCCGAAAATGACGCTAGGACAAGACAATGGCGACAGCCTGGGCGACATTGTAATTGTTGAAAAGTTTTCTTTTGACAAGTGGAAACACAAAAACTTCGGAAGTGCCCGATTTCTCGCGAATCTTGCTTGAATCCTGCGGTGAGCCTGCCTGTAGGTTTCACTTTTAAGTTCTATTCCTCGTGTTGTAGAAAATTGTTTTTATATTTGCTATATTATGGCTGAAGAAAGGTTAGTTTTTTGTAGATTTATTGATTAACCTTTTACTCTTCATAATCTTACTGTTTGCCTGTTTTAGTGTGCTTCATCCATTAGTTTTATGGGCTCAACGCAAGGACACAGTCCTCCTAACCATTCGGCTAGAAGATACCATCGATCCAGAAATTAAACTGGATAAGGAAAGGATGTACTTTAGGTACAGTATAAAAATTACCATGCTAAAGTACATTGTATGTTTCATATGAGTTAATGTTGTGTAATAACTGTGAAGTGTAGGATATATGATCATGTATGTAATATGATTTTGCAAGAAACTGGGCTGGCTGAAAATATTTTGACAGGAAATTATAAATTATAATATCAAACTATTTGATGTTTGTAGATGGAAATTTCGAGTGTGAATTTTATACATTATTTAGACCTATTAAACCAGGAGCAGTTGCAAAAAATGCAACTTACTATAAAGGCCCTGTGGTGGGAATTGAACATGTAGCCCTGGAATTCCATGGCCTATCCAGGGTGCATTCCATGTAAATTCTACGCCGGATATACGCCAACATGTACGATCCTTTATGCCAGTACATTGGAGATTTTCAATTTTGGGGACTTAAATCCAGTGGTGGAACCAGAAAGTTTTTTTGGGGGGTGCTAACCAATGGCGAAATGAGCGCCGAAGACACAAGATTTCTCTAGAGGGTGGTCCGGGGAAAATTTCTAAAATTTGGGTCTCTGAAATGGCATTTCCAGCATTCTGAGAAAACATTCTGGAAAATTCTTAGATTCTCAAAACATTTAAAAATTCAGAATATTTAATATTGGCTATTCTGCTATTGTCAACTAGTGATATGCAACTGAATTCCTTAACATAAGTTGGTTAGAATTAGGATAAACGTAATTTTTGCAACCCCCCCCATGCACCCCTGTTGACCAGAGCCTGGGAGCGTGTGCCCCCCACCCCCCCTAAATCCACCACTGCTTAAATCCATGTTTTGAAAATAGCTAATTAATATGGTGTGTTTTTAATATGTACTGCATGTCAACATATTCGTGTAGTTATACTGTCAATTTACATGTGGCCATCAAATCAGGCACAAACTGATCACTTGTTTTCGAGTGATCTCACACCATTACGCTAACAATTTTGTAACCTCATGCCGGATATATCCGGCGTGGAGTGCATGGAATGCACACTGGCAGCCTATAGAGTATATATAGTAAAACTTTTTGCAATTGTTCCTGGTTAGGTCTAAATAATGTATAAAATTCACACTTGAAATTCCACCTACAAAACCCTTCTACAATTAGTTATATCCAGTGTAGATTGATGCCCAAAATCCTGATATTTACCTACTATACACCTATTTTTGATGTTTGCTTTTTATACAAAAATAGTTGGGATGCGAATTTAGGTTGCTAACAAATTACAACTTGTCAAGTCAGTCCTCAAACATTTTTGGCTTGGAATATATGTTTTTATACATTAATCCCTGAAATTCACAGTTGTTTGTGCTATCTTTTGACCAGGCATTCTGGAATTCCGCGATGCCACAATTTCGTGGAATCGTCCAAAAATTCTGTGAAATTTAGTTTGAGTCGCGGAATTTAAACTTTGGTGAAGTAATTTTTTTTATTTTCCCTTAATTAAATTCACAAAAAGATACATTTGTGTGATATGAATGATACTGATATGAACAAACTGATACGAACGGAGATTTCCTTCAAAGTGGAAGGACTTACATTGATATTCATCATTTCACTAGCCACTAACATTTATTAGCATGTTAATTTTTGAACTTCTAGTAATCAAGTTCTTGCAACTGCACTTCCGGTTCATAGAATGTCATTTACGATCTGTACCTTTGGTTTGTGAAAAAAGTTTGATAATGTTTGATGACAATGCAGTCTTCCATGACCATGGTTAAAATACAATTTAAAAACATTGGCAGTGGCAAAACGTTAGCAAAAACCCACTCAGGCACTGTGATCATTGTTTCTATTTTCGCTTCTCAAACTTGCTGTCACATGGTACTTCGATTAAGACCCACAGATTGAAAATTAGTACGGCGCTTATTTGGTGACGGCGCTCAAACGAGTAATTACAGTTTTCACATCGATGACGTACAATCTGCTGTTTTGTTTTATGTTGGGACTCACTGTATATTAAATATGTCACTCAGATTTCTTGTGAAACCGAGAACTTCTATTCATCTTTCTAATATATTTCTTACTACCGAGTATCTAAATTGAAATGACCCTACAATTACCTCATGTTTATAGTGGTAGATATTGATATTTTGCCTAGAAACATCTGAATTTTGTCTGCAGAATTTCTCATTTTGGCTACGAAATCACTTATTTTGGCCACGGAATTGACCTAAAAAATTTTGCGGAATTTGCTATTTTTGCCCGCAGAATTCCAGAATGCATGTTTGACAGTTTAAGTTTGTTCATTCACTGCAATCATGTTTCGCTCACTACTCTGGTTTAAATAAATGATTACAAAGCCCAGTCGAATTGTAATCAAGACCCAACGTTTCAACACTCCAGTCTAGTGTCTTCATCAGGGGTGATCTAAAGATGCAATCGTGGCTTCTTAAATACCCAAGGGATGACGTCACCTAGCTGCCAATGAGATGCCAGAGGAATACATGCATCAACAGTTTCATCTCCATGTTAGGCAAGACTTTTTTTATTTATTGGTTTACAAATTTTACTTGAAAAAAAAAAACAGGTTGGTAGGTTGGAAAATAATTTTAAAAAACATTGTTTTTCAAGATTGTCACAACGATAACATGAGCCAGTAGTACTTAGAGTCGTTTACGTTTATACTTGGCGTGTACTTCATGTCAGAACCCCAAATTAACTAAAATTAACTAAAACCGTAAAATTGTTGACATCCAAATTTTTTTTTTAATTTTCACTTTCTGAATTTTTACGGTCGGCGGATCCGTAAACCAATGAATAAAAAAGTCTTGCCTTATTGGTAATCTTATTTCTTATTGCTGGTTTTACCAATTATTATATTTGGCTAGCTTATTATTAATTATTTTAAAATAGCTGATTGATCAGCTTTGACGATTGTTTCCTGATTAAGTAGCTCATAGCTATCCATGGATGCATATTCGAAGCGAGGGGTCTGAGGGTTTTTAGTCTTATTTAATTCAAAATCCGTATTTCAATCGTGCTACTGTCATTTTATCCAGCAAGCATTTAAATTTCTGGGGGAGGGGGTGCAAATTTCTCTAGGTGGGGAGGTGCAAATTTATCTAGGTGGGAGGGGAAAATTTTGTGAGGGGTTGCAAAATATTGGGGGGGGGGGAGGTTGGACCCCCTGGACCTTACCTACTGTGTAGTCTATACTTATTATGATCTATCCAAATAGATTATTGATGTTTCACTTTGGGTACCAATTTTTTTACTAATTATATTTTGAAAACTGTTGACTAGTACTGTTGTTTAGACTAAATGCCGACATAAATGACTTGCTGACGCCACTGACTGACAAGGCTTTTAAGTTGCTACACCGATTTTCAGCACACATTTTCCATCGCACATTTTTCAGCGATCTGGAATCCTTTGCCAGGGCTTATGGTCACTTGTTAGCATGATTGATGGCTTGCATTCACAGAAGCAACTTGACAAGTTATTTATGGAGTGGCTTATATATGGAGGATATTTTGTTTTAGTAATTTATTACAATAACTGCACAGTTAATAAAACAATAATATTGTAATGTAATGTAATAAATATACGATCTATTTTGTTCAAATATATGCCCATGAGCTTAATATATATAAATAGGTAGGCTAAATATTTGGGGTTGATGATGACAATGAATCTGAATTAGAATAACAATATAACTCATTATCTATGTTAGTCAACGTTTATTCACATACCTAATTTTAAGAATTTTTTATCACTGCACATTTTATGCCAAAAATTTCCGAATGACTAGGAAAATTTCCGAATATTCGGAAATTTTTGGCGACCTCCCCCCCCCACCCACCCCCCCTCCCCCGTCGCCAAAAAAATTTTGGTCAGTGTACCATTTTAAGGGTCAAAAATTTTTTCCGGACATACCAAAAGCCAGATATTAACTAAAAATTGCCTGAATCTCATGATTTTCGTACAAAAAACATATACTATTATTTAATTCGATAATTTGGCAGTCATCATTTCAATTTCAATTAAATCATTCTCTTGTGTTAATTAACAACTTATCAAAGCAAATTTTATCACTGCACATTTTACATTTTATCACTGCACATTTTACTTTTATCACTGCACAAATTGGTTATCACTGCACACTAAAATTAGCTATGTTTATTCATAAATCTGGTTCTTCACCATCACGTGCTTATTGTACTTTTGCCCAACTAACCAATAACATTGTTTTAGGAAAGTTACCTATCCGTGACTCGAACAATAGGGTAAATTGAAAATTGCTATTGGTGGATTTGGCAAAGATACAATACACACGTGACGGTGAAGGACCAGATTTATGAATAAACGTTGACTAACATAGATAATGAGTTATGCTGTTATTCTAATGAGTTTCCAAACCATCTATTCTATTAACTATGATTTAATGAGAGTAACTTGTATAGCTAATTGCTAACAAACTTGAGGCCCTCAACTGACTAATATTACAATGATGATATATAAATGTTAAAAACCTAAACCTTTAAATAGCTACATGACAAGAATGTATAAAATTGCGACAGTCGTGTAAAATGATGAAGTTGTTGATGTTCAAATATGCTGTTCCACAATTATTCTTAAAAGATTTTACAGAAACATGGCTTCTCAGATCTAATGGAAGAGCATTCCATAGTTTTGCTCCAGTTACAGCGAATGTTCTTCCGTCTGTCTCTCGGATATATCTTGGTCAAATAATATTGGTGTTCTAGTATTTCGAGAGTGTCTTATTTATAATAATATGTTCTTCTAAATAACTAGGAAGCTCACCGTGAATATGTTTATACATAATTGCACATTTGTTGATCTTACTCTCTTCATATAGAAGGGACTTAGATATATACAGTAATTGAAGTGTGTGCATATAAATGTTGTTGCAGGTCTAAGGGTGGACATGATCAAAAACTATATGGATTTGAATTTAAATTTTTTGGTGATATTATCCCAGAGGTAGGTGGATTATTGTGTCATTTTGTTTGAAAGTAAGTCAATCAAATGCATGTACTGTACATGTTTTTTTTTCATTTTTAAACCACAGCCCCCATATGAAAAAAATCATAGGAATTCCAATTAGATTTTTGCCAAAATTCCAATTAGGAATTCCTATAGGAATAGGAAATTACCTATATGAATATCATGTAGGAAAATTATTCCTATTAGATTTTGGTCCATTGTTATAGGAATTCTTCTATAATAATGGGCCATGGTTGAACATCTATATATTGTACATATAAACATTGAGGTTCTGATTATGTTTAAAACCTATTGAGTACCAGCGCCCTCGCCTTGACAAATAAAATCATCTAGCATTAGACAGAATAAAATAATAAAGTAGGGTGCATTAGGGCACAATGCAAATTAATGGGTTCATAAATCTGCCACAGTGACTATAAAGAAGACAAAAGAAAGTGGAATGTGATTTTACCTTTGTAAAGGCATTCAATGTACTAGGCTTTTTTCAACGGTTTTCTTGTCTCTATATATCAAAGACTATTTTCCAGTATTACCATTTGCAAGCGTCTGTGAAATGTACATTTAAAACTATGTTTCAAACCATTTCTCCCACATAGTTTGTCAATCAAAACCTTTTGTTTTGCACAAAATAACATTTGTGGGTCGCATCAAACTAGTTGTTTTGTATGCGAATTTTTTTTCATTTGCATGGCCACATTGGAATTCCAATTGAAATTTGGGCCAATTGGAATGAGTTCTTCTGCCCGATGTTCAATGGATTCCAAATTTCCAATGCAATGGAAATTCCTATTGGAATTCCAATTGGATTTTTTTTGTCAGGGACACCCACAAACGTTTTATGACAAACATTGAGGGAAAATGTTTTGAAACCTAGTTTCAAATGCGGCAGGTACAAAACGCAAGTTGGAATTTCGCAGGTTGGGAGTTTTTCAGGTTGGAATTTTGCAGGTTGCCAGGAATTTTGCAGGTTGATCATGCAAATTTAAAATTATATCACTATAAACTATTCTAAAAATGAAAATTAAAGCCCAGCAAATGACTTTCAGACAAGACATAACAAAATATAAAATTTATTAGCTAACGTTTCGTTTTATTGTTCACAACATCTTCAGAGCAATTAAACTTATTTACAAGCGTGTATTATATATATACAAATAGTTTCAAACGGTTACAGTATTCAAATAAGCGAATAAGAGGAAGGATGAAAAACAACCTGTCATTAAAAGCAATAGTATTAGTAATGGTTAGTAATTAGAGACCTAGCAAAGCATTAGAAAAGGTCAAGAGGAGTTGACCTAATGTTAGCATTTAAAGTAGGATTAAAGGGTATGGGCAATGAAAATTGCTTCATCTATCTTATTGCTTCATCTGAAAGAGCATGAAAATATAAGCCGATTGGCCGTTTAATGCTCTATTCTATCTCATCTAGTTCCGACGTTATACGCAAAAATGTGCAAAATATAAATTGCTGATTCAGCACAACGTGTGACGTCATTAGCTGGGTAAGTATGTTTATTGAATACTACACTGAAGCATAGCTCAGTTATTATGGGCCCAAATCAAATGAAATTTTGGATACTGATTGTACGTGATGAGACGCATGGAAAAACACTTCTAATTTTGTTGCCAAGGTAAAATGTCGTTCCCAGGCCCCTTGCGCCAATTTTATAAAACAGCTTTATTCAAGGTACTGATAAAAATAAAATAATATCAGAAGTATGTGTACGATACCTATGCATGCCGAAAGTTTACTTGCATGATAATAATTCGAAAATGACATACACATAGAGAAATGCAACTAGTTATTCAAAATCAGTGTAAGGGGTCTGGGAACGACTGTGTTGCCTTGACAACGAAATTAGAAGTATTTTCCCATGCGTCTCATCATGTACTATCTGTATGCAAAATTTCATTTGATTTGAGCTAATAATAACTCAGCTATGCTTTAGTTTACTATTCAATAAACATACTTACCCAGCTTATGACGTCACAGAATGTGCTGAATCAGCAATTTATATTTTGCACATTTTTGCGTATAACTTCGGAACCAGATGAGATAGAATAGAGCAGTAAACGGCCAATCGGCTTATTTTTTCATGCTCTTTGAGATGAAGCAATAAGATAGATGAAGCAATTTTCATTGCCCATACCCTTTAAAGTGCCCCTGACACAAAAAAATTTTTTCAGTCTATCGAAAGTACTCATTTAGTATAGTGTTCAAGCGAAAGAATTTTTCGATTTCATCAAAACGAAAAAATTTTAGAGCCGTTTGAACACGCAAAATTTGGGCTTTTGGTTGGCAGGCGTCCGTGTTCGAAGGAAACTGGAACGAGCGATTTTTGTTACGTCACGCAAGTGAGTCGGCGTATATTCTATTATTCGACTATACTAGCACTATCAACTCTCGCGGATATATAGGTAGATTTGTGATCGAAAAAGATATGCCTTTTTACTGTGTTGCAGCTAACTGTACCAATAAAGCATGTTTAAAAGATGGAATAAGTCTACACAATATTCCATACTTCAATGACGAACATGCGGAAGCTAAAAGACGACGAAAAGTATGGGTTGATTTTGTACGCGCAAAGCGTTTGTTTGTGCCGTCAAAGATTTTGACTGTATGCTCGGATAATTGTAGAACAGAGGATTACGAGAGGCAATTTTTCTCGTTGCCGGGGCTCGGCAAGCCTAACTATCTGAAGCTAATAAAGACTGACGATGATTTGCTTTGTTTTGATGATTCAATTTGCAATTTGTATTTCGGTTTTGCGGCCAGCTAAAAATATAAATATTTTGTAATACCGAAATAAAAGATGCAAATCTGAAGACACAAGCTTGAAAATAACACTCTAAATAGTGTTTTGGATTCCGGTTCGAATAAGACTATTACGAAAAAGATATGTCCAAAGGGGCCGAAGTTATGGTCGGCTAAATGTACGGCTACTTTACATTGTTCGAGACTAATTGAGTAATATAATGAATTATGACACCGCTTGACCTCTCAAAGGTCATAAATAGCTATTTGACTACAATTTGACTAAAACTATATTTGACTAAAACTATCATTGGAAATAAGGAGATTTTGTTTCACTCAATCGAATGGTAGTAATTTTGTCTTTATAGCATGCACCGAACCGGAGATATGAACCTTGCAAAGTCATAGAACGACACGTTAGTAGGAAGCTTATTAAAGATGCGCCAAATCTGAGACATGGCGCGACTAAAAAACAATCGCTAACTGATAAATGGGAGACTAGTTTTACTTTGTGTTTCTCGTATCCCTGACTTTGTTTACCAACAACAGTTTTTATCTGTGAAGTGAAACTGTGATAATAGCGGCAGTTTTTCGTCACGTCCGCGTCGCAGATTTGGTAATATTAATGATACCACTAGAGACCTGACGAGATGCAGCTACAGATCAGCATCTTCCAATACACCATATTAACCAGGTATAAAATTCGTTCCAGATTCATCGGACTGATTCTGTTGATTCTGTTGACATAATACTTTATAGAACTTAGAATATAAAAAGTTGAACACTTCAGCGAACAAAACATTCGAGCTGATTAAAACAGATAACTTAACAGACCATCAAGACTCGACTCCCTTGCGTGACGTCAGAATAAATGCTAGTGCCAGACTTCTGTCGCCGACGGCCATTAGCCAAAAATATTTGGATTCAAACGGCTCTAAACAATTTTCGTTTTGATGAAATCGAAAAATTCTTTCGCTAGAACACTATACTAAATGAGTACTTTCAATAGACTGAAAAAAAATTTTTGTGTCGGGCACTTTAACAATCAATGAAGTTGTTATAAATATATGTTTAATACGTTAAGATAAAAGAATTACTTATCTTTCTGAAGTTTCATCTGCATATAAACGTTCCAGTCATTCAAATATGCACTTGTTGTCTCCAATCAGTTACTTTCTTCCTTGCAATTTTAGTCGGTAGGGTTCAAGATATGTTTTAAATACACTTTTAATACAAAAATATAGCTTAAAACCCTAAATAAATGACAATTTTCGATCCATTCGTCCGAGAAAAAACATTCAGTCACTTCGCCATAATGGTCTCGCGAGAATGTCTCGCAACACAAACGCGCGTGTCTGGAGGTAGAACACGCACGGCTGGAGGTAAAATTTGGCTTCATCCGATCATAAGCCAATCCTATTGGAGGTAGCGTTCCAGGTATTTTTAGTTCACTGGGTATACCAGAAGCACAGAAGAGATAATACCAGAAGTCTTACTCAAGCGGAAACATGTCCCATCTTTTTTATTGCGCATGCGCGAGCTAAACAAGTGTAATGCAATGTTGACAATAGAAAATTATATTGGGAAGTTGTCATTCCTACAGTAAAAACAGCTTTTTTTCAAGCAGTACGAAATGTGACTTCGATTTATCCGTGGAACTATTTGAACAGAAGGTAAAGCAGTAATTTTGTTGTATTTAGAAAGCAAACAGGGTCATATTTTAAAGAAAATAGCGCACTAAATATAAATTTGAGCATCATTAAAATGTGTTCGCTATGATGCCATTTTGTCTCGAGTATATACGGAGTACTGCTTTTATACTGGTGGATATTCGAATTTATTTGGCTCAAAAACACCATTACTTCAATATCTCTTTCTTGTTTTTCCTTGGATAGGTTTTAACAAGATAGAACTCTAGATCACTTGGGTCCAAAAACGCTAGATTATAAAATCCTGATGTGACTTGATACTACAAATAGAATATGTCTTGTGATGTAATACTACAAATAGAATGACAAACTTCAATGAATTGATAAAGTGTAAGGATTCAAGGATAGTGTTTAAAGTTGCTTCATGTGTAGAAGCTGAATTACTTTAGTTTATACACTGTAATGTCGATATCACATGTTGATGACTTTAATACTAGCAACAAGTGGTCTGTCCTGCTTGTTTATAATACTTTAGAGTTTGGACATTAGAACATTGTAATTGCCTGACAGAGATTGTTAGGGCCTGTTTGTATGGAAGCCGGGCTGGCCCGCTTAGCGAGACAGCCCGGTAAGGTAGGTAAGCTGGATGATTTCTCTTGTGTTTATTTGAGAAAATTTCATCCTGCTTACCCGGGACAATTTTGTTGTTTTGACATTGTTTTGACAGTTGTTAAAAATAGCTTGCAGCAGTATCGTTGAACTTTCATCCTGGCAACTGGGCTAGCCTGCTTGTGATTGTTTATATGGAGAAATTTCCATCCTGGTCTCTGCAACAGGGCCTCCCGCTTGTACATAGAAACAAGTTTAATTATAATTTTTACTATAAAAATAAGTAGACAGCGAGATCTCACTTACCGGGCTGTCTCACTTAGCAGGCCAGCCAGTTTCGATATAAACAGACCCCTAAAAGCTGCAAGTTTCCTTAAAGCAATATCGTCTATATCACAGAATACAGTTTCTGTAGTGACATACTTTGTGTGTTTTCTGTCTTTAAAGTGTCTTATGTTTGTAATATTTTTGTACAATACCTTTTTGAAATTGTTGATACTGGTCTCATTGTAACTCAGTTATTCCTTCTCAAGAAAAATAAAAAAACAAAGCTGTGTGGGTGTGTTTTTGCTCTAGTTTTTACATCTACATGATTCATGTACAATTAATGTACATTTAAATTAGCTTTGTTCAATGAATACAGGTGTGATTCAAATATCATTCCTATCTGGTACTTGGGTCAAATAGACATAAGCATACCAAATCATGCTATGAATTGAAATACAAGTATAGGGTGTGTATTGTTTAAATAAATATATTTTCCAGTTAACCCAGTAAGCTGCATTGTGCCCCAATGCACCCTACTTTACTAGTTTATTTCACTTCATCTAATGCCAGATGATTTTACTTATCGAGGGAGAGTGCTGCTGCTCATTGAGCTCTGATTGAGTTCACTGAGTGGCAGCACTTTCCCCTTGACGAGTGAAATTGTCTGGTGTTAGACAGAGTAAAATAATCTTGTGTTCACTAAAGTAGCTACTTTTTCAAAAGCTCAACCAGGCTAAAGATTCTTTGATTTGAAAACCAAAGTGATAGTGAACTAGTTAGTTGAAACAAACAGAATTGTTCGATTTATTTACTTTCCACAACATAATTTGACAATTAAAATTTAATTTGATACTTTTCCAGTATGCATTCTTCATTGACATTATAGAGGTTCAGATTTGACAACCATTACCATTAAGGGACCATCAAATGTATTTGATATATTCGATCAACCATGATATAACCAATCAAATGCATACTAAGGCAGTCAGAGATAGTGCTAGTAGAACTCAAATCTTAACCTCTACAATGAAAGTGCGAGTTTATTCATAAACTAATTATACGTAAATCAACTTTCATGCAATCATCTAGTTATGCACCAGTCAATGTAAACCCTGCCCCCAACCGGGGAGGGGCGGGAGGTTTAGTGGGGAAAGTGGTCCGTTTTGATTATAAATTTGCCCCAATGATGGGAGACTTGGACGGTGGTTAATATATATATCCTGTGTTGCTGTTTTAGTTTTCTTGACAAGAAAAGTTTAAATACAACAACATAAATGAATTTGATTTTCTATTGCTGATCTATGATTATACAAAACTATTTTCCCGCGGTTGAGAGACATGCAGGGGACATTGATGTCCCTGGGGGCGGGACAATTTTGCTCTTTTACTACCCCTCCAAGTCAAAATCCCTGCCCCTCCCCGGTTGGGGGGTTTACATTGACTGGTGCATTAATTAAAGAGGTGTCAGTGCCACATATGTAGTAAAAGCCAACTTGTCAGTAAAGGCCACAGAGCAAGATTGTATTTCAAAGATTGTCAGTGACAAGAACAATTGATAGGCCTGAAATAGAGTATGCTAACAGTTAGTATACTGCAAATAACTATTCTATCAACAAGATAATGACCGATGTGTGTTTTTACAAATGTTTTTATATATCAATCCAATGGCATGTAACCTAAAATTCAGCAGTGTCTGTGTAATGTAATACACCCTTACTTCTCAATGGTCAAATTAACTATACTACATTGTGTATAATAATATATGGACTGGTTCAAAAATATATTGAATTAATAACTTATAAGTGTTGAACTGGTGAACTATTGATGTGGAGATTTATGCCAAGTATACAATGGCACAAGGATTTTCATGTTATCAGCATGATTAAATCGTGAGATTGTGCAAATAATCTGTGTAAAATCTCTTAGAGATATCCTCGGTAGCCACATTTTAAGGTAAAATAACTATGGTAAAGCTATTCAAGGAAAAAAATCATTGGATCTGTCAACCTCGTTGTCAACAGTGAATTTAACTAAATTTATGATCCATTTATTGCCGTATTTTAGCTGAGAATTCATTTAAGACAATGCAATACGATAGACTTACCTTTGAATTTATCATATATTCTTTTAAAATGGTCACCAAAGCTCTAAAACTCGATTGGTATCGTTTTAACTTCCTCACTCCTTAATGTTTACATTGTAAATTTGTCAAATTACACTTGTTTAGGGCACTGGAAACGAGACGCGGCCAAGATGCGCGAGCCGACATGCGCGGGGACATCAACATCAAAGATTCCGACATCGAGTGAGACTTCTGGTCTTATTATTTATTTTGTGCCAGAAGCGTAACTCAAGCAAGTATTTGTCTGCATTTTTACAAGCGATTCGTCATCAATCACGCCATCCTGGCTAGTACAACCGGCACTTTGTACCTACCAAAACCAGTGAACTCTCTCTATATATATATATCTGGAAAGATAACAGCGAGCGAAAAGTGAAGCCGACAAAAAAAATCACGACATAAGTATTCGTCATTGTCTTCGTCATCAACTGTTCAAGAACAATCACTTACATATAAAATTTGTAATTG